CCCCCCCCCCCCCAGCTACATGCCTGTGGTAGAGGCTCCATCTTTGGTGGCTTTTAAACAGAGGCTGGATGACCATGCAATAGGGCCCCACAGCCACCTACAGACCCACCACAAAGAAGATTTCTCTTACCTACATGTAGCGCTTGACCACTTTATCCTTGTTGAAATTCATTTTGTTACCTTTGGATCAGCTTTCCAATTTGTTAAGGTCATCTTAACAATGGTAACATGAAGCAATACCTGCCACCTCATCCGTTAAGCAAGGTAATTTGTTCAGCATGACGTTGGAAAGAGGAAGACGAGAAACTAGGTCAAACCATGTGGAGATCAATGTAAGTACTGTCTTCTAACTCTTATCAAAATGGAAACATCCCCTTCTCTGAGTCAAATGATGAAAGGCAAGAGCTTTGTCTGTCCTAAAAGAAGCATTGACGCCATCTGCTGTCTATACCACAGTTCAGTTCCACCTCTGGACATTTTACATACATGGACGAGAAGATGGCACTGACAGTGACTTTTCGGCACTTCCCCTCAAAGGAGCACTAAGAGACTTCTTTTAGGTTTCCTTATTCTGTGTGGCGTAATGAAAGGCCTCTTTAATTGTCTGGGCAGGAAAATAGCTAACTTTATGTATGATCATATATGGTATTTCTTATGATATTGGCTGGGGGATTCTGAGATCTGTAGCACAAAAACATAATTTATTATTTATTTATTTACTTTATTTATATACCGCTTTTCTCAGCCCTCAGGCGACTCAAAGCGGTTAACAACATCAATACAAAACATCGTAGGACAAGTATAGGGCAGTTAAAAAACAATTAAACATCAGTATAACAATCATTAGCGCCTCAACAGTAAAATCAGAATCCAGTCTCATTATCCGTTATTCCGTATTCATGTTCAATTACACTGTTTAATCAAATGCTTGTTCGAACAGCCAGGTCTTCACTTTCCTCTGAAACGCCAGCAGGGAGGGGGCCGATCGGATATCTGTAGGCAGGGCGTTCCACAGCCGAGGGGCAACTGCTGAGAAGGCCCTGTCTCTCGTCCCCGCCAGGTGCACATGTGATGCAGGTGGAACAGAGAGCAGGGCCTCTCCAGATGATCTTAATGTCCTAGTCGGTTCATAGGAGGAGATGCATTCGGAGAGGTAAGTAGGGCCAGAACCATTTGGGGCTTTATAGGCTAACGCCAGCACTTTGAATTGTGTCCAGTAGCAAACTGGCAGCCAGTGGAGCTGGCGCAACAGAGGGTCGTATGCTCCCTGAGTGCCGCTCCTGTTAGCAACCTGGCTGCCGAACGCTGGACCATTTGAAGCTTCCGGGGAGTCTTCAAAGGCAACCCCATGTAGAGAGCATTGCAGTAGTCTATACAGGATGTAACCAGAGCGTGGACTACCGTGGCCAAGTCAGACTTCCCAAGGTACAGGCTGGACTAGAATGTTCCCTTTGATATTTTTTCTTATCAACACAAGTTGGCCTCCCATCAATGAAACATTTTGATTACTATGGTTGAAAGTATCTAACACTATCAAATAACTTTCCATACGGTTCCCAAATATCCTGTTTTTTTAATACAGAAAATCCCATTTGCAGTCTGATCCAGGACTAAGGCTGCACAGGATGTCCTGTATCCCATATCCCTTGAGTCATTGCTAATGTGTGCCAGCCCTGATCCTAACAGATCAACTCCAAGCATTTGGTGCACAACAAAGTGGCCTTTTACCACCATCACGTTTAACATTTTCAGGCCTAGGACATGCCTTGAAGTCAGATGTACATTCATCAACAAGGGACACTTTCACACTTATAATGCTTTGATTCCACATTAACACTCATGGCGACAAGGACCAGGCTGTGGTATGGCTAGTTAGTAGGCAGCTGCATTAAATCACTACTGACTGAGAGGTCTTGAGTTCAAAGCCAGCCTGGGTTGGAGTGAGCTCCTGACCATTGATAGTCTAGTTTGCTGTTGACCTATGCAGCCCAAAAGACAGTTGCATCTTTCAAGTAGGAAATTTAGGTACCAGTTTATGTGGGGGGGGAGCTAATTTAACTAACTTATGATGCCATAAAAGCTTCTAGCAGCATGCAGAGGAATGAAGAAGTACTCCATCAAAGTGGACGGTGAACCGGCAGCTCCCCTTGTGGCTAGAATCGAGCATACCCTCATGAAGCCGGAAAAGCTGGAATGTTAAATTGCCTCTGTGTCTGTCTATATATATGCTGTACGTCTAATTGGCATTGAATGTTTGCCATATATGTGTGCATTATAATTTGCCCTGAATCCCCTGCTGGGTGAGAAGGTGAGAAGGGCGAAATATAAATACTGTAAATAAATAAATAAATAAATAAATAAATAAACATTCTATGGATTTCTGAGATGTGGAGGATGTGGAGGTTTGAGAAATATATTTACTTGTGATTCCAGCCATGAAAGCCTTTGACAATACAGTATGTTTACAGAGGAATTATATTGCTATAACGGTAATGTTAAGGAGCCCCAGTTGTTGTTTTATTTTCACTTCAAAGCATATGGAGTTAAGCACTAATTGTCCTATGCTATCCTTGCATTGAAAATGTATCTTGCAAATAATATATTTTGAAAAATATAAATGAAAGCTCTTCATGAGACATGTTGTGTCCCCGTACATTTTATTATAATTTATGTATGTGTCCATATATCTTATAAGGCCTAGGTTAGGGGTGCTTTGAATGCAATTTTC